GCGGAGAAGGTCAAGAATTTGCAGAGGTCCAACCCCTCAGCTAAGGAAGCTTGGTGGGCCTATTGCGACGCTCAGTGCGGAGGCCTGCGGGACCCAATGCGCCACGACACGGACTCGTTGCAGACTTTCCTGGTCAGCCAGGGCGCATAACAATGTTTGCGAGTAATGATGTGCGCCCAACAGGTCTTGATTGCGGCTGCCAGCCGTGCAATCCAGTCGTATCAAACGAGGGGACACTTGTGCCTGGAGGATTCAGGCTGCAGGGCGGCAAAGCTTGCAAAAAAGGCTTGCGAAGTGCCTGTATGTGCAAGTGTGAGGTGTTCAGGAGTCTGTGATCGATTTTGTCCGAATGTGAGTTCGATGGCGTGGGTGTGTATGCTTTCCTCCTACATGGACGACAAGGGTCACTCAAACCATGATTGCTTGCACGAATACTAATTGGCATGTGCGGATCCCCACACAATGAAAACGCACGCACCATGTCGCCACAGAGCTGCCCATTTGGCCACGACGACGGCCACCACCGCGACGACCACGACCACCACGACCACCACGACCAAAAAACACAGACCAGGAACCCACGACGACCACGATGACTACAACAACCACGACGACCATGGTCGGCGACCACGAAGACCACGACGACTACGAGCCCGCGATGCCCAGGACCACCACGACGACCACCATGACCTCGAAGCGACGACCACAGCACAACGACCAGGACCATGGACCAGTGGGACCACCATCGCCACCAGAACCGCCAATGGCACCAGCGCCACCATGGCCACGAGAACCGCCAGAACCCCCAACAGGTCCACCAGCGGAACCAACACCACCAACACCGCCAACACCACCACCACCACCCCACCACCCCACCACCCCACCACCCCAGCACCACCACCACCACCACCACCACCACCACCACCACCACCACCACCCCCACCACCACCACCACCCTCCAAAGTCATCATTCCCGCCACACACAGGAGCCTGACGGCAACTTGCAAGTTTTGGTGGGAACACGAGCCCGACCCAAAATATGCGCAGCACAGTGGCGGGAAGTAGGATTTTTGGGGAGGAAATGCACGCATAGGACTGGTGGGAAGAGAATGCGGGAGCAGACCATAAAGTGCCAAGGATGGCTTTGCTCGCATTTGAGCACTTCGCGCGTTTTCAGAGCACCGCGAGATATTGAAACTTGCTACGAGGAGGGCGACACGCCCGAAACGGACATGGCGGGGCCCGCCGAGCTCCGCCGGCCTCGTGCGCCGTTTTACCACTGCTTCTCCCGCCGAGTTACGACACTGCTTCGCACAGTCAATTTCACAACCAGTGGCCAGTGAAGGACGGCACAGCATGCACTAGCGGTGATGGGAAGGCCCCTTCCTGTGCCTGAAAAGCAGTGGCTGAGCTGCTGATCCAGCGTTGAGCCAGTAATGTTGGAAATGCTTTTCACAATATTCGTTCTACTCAGCACGGCAGCAGGCCGCACCAGCCTGGTAACTGCAATGTAGCATGGATGAGGTCACCTTGATCAGCTGCAAGCGTGTGTCTATATGTCGAAACAGAGGACCGGAGGAGCAGCTGGAAGCTTTTGTGGTCGGCTGATGCATGTTCGTGCTGGCATCTGGCCGAAGCAGAGAGGGATTTGTTGCACACAGCGCCTGAATGCATAGTGGTCACTCACACGGCATGCCAGACTAACCTCTATGTCTCGAAGACGTCACATTCACATTTAAACCAGAAGTGCCTCGATCGACGCGATTTTGCCTCGGCTGTCTGTGAACGCGAAGACGCACCCGGCTAGAGCGAGCACAACCCTTAGTCATGGCGGGCAAAGAGGCATTGGTTCAGCAGATCAAGAACATGCAGCGCATCGACTCAACATTCAGGCAGACTTGGTGGGACTTCTGTGAATCGCAGCTTGGTGGCGTCCGTGATCCAAATCGCCACGATGAGAGCGTGCTCGGCACATTTTTGGAACAGTACAACACGGGTGCCATTGCTCCCTCGCCCTTCCGTGCTGAGGAATCATGGTGGGGGAAAGGAAAAGGGGGGGGCAAAGGCGGAGGCGGTGGTGGCTACGGCGGCGGCTACGAAATGGGCGCAGATCCGTGGGCCATGATGATGGGCGGAGGCTTGTCGGATATGGTGAAGACGGGCCAGCGCGCATCGTATCACTACAGGACCGCTTGGACAATCTACTGTGCTCTGTATGGTGCCGGCAAGAACGACCCGGCCAGGCACGACGAAAAGTTCATCCGTGGATATCTGGACTACCTGGGAGAGCTGGCCACAAACGGATTGTCCACCATTGCTACCTCCCAAGGCATTAACTTGGAGGAGATTACCGCCAGCAACAAGCGACCGGCCCCTGGATCCGAGCCTGCAGCCAAGAGGTTCAAAACCGAGCCGGATGAGATCAAGCTCCCATTTGCGGAGAAGGTCAAGAATTTGCAGAGGTCCAACCCCTCAGCTAAGGAAGCTTGGTGGGCCTATTGCGACGCTCAGTGCGGAGGCCTGCGGGACCCAATGCGCCACGACACGGACTCGTTGCAGACTTTCCTGGTCAGCCAGGGCGCAGTATGATGGATGAGGTGTCCAAAAGCTGCTAGGTGCAGCAGATCTTGATCCCGGCAAATACCCACACCGGGCCGAATATGAGGGTACTTGGCGCAACTCGAACGAACGCAAGATGGAAAAGAGCTCTGCTGCAAAATGCTTGTCTCTATCAAGAGTAGTTGTGCGATTTTCAGGATGTGATTGCATCCCTCTGATAGGACGTGCGCTGTAGGTGTTCAATGCTCGGAAATGGACAGATTGGTCGTGATTGTTGCAGACTGGCTCGTAGGAGAAGGGTGGCAGCAGCTGACCTTCAAAGGGAGACTGACTGGCTGCCTAGAGCCAGAGGGGCCGCAGTTTCGCCATGGCTGGCAAAGCGGACTTGGTGCAGCAGATCAAGAACATGCAGCGAGCCGATCCCACGTTCAGACAAACATGGTGGGACTTCTGCGAAGCGCAGCTCGGTGGTGTCCGCGATCCGAACCGGCATGACGAGAGCATCCTGGGCACCTTTCTGCAGCAGTACAACAACGGAGAAATTGCTCCGTCGCCTTTCCGGCCTGAGGAGGACTGGTGGAACAAGGGCAAGGGCAAGGGCAAGAAGGGGGACATGTCCTATAACATGATGCCGCCACCAGACATGTGGGGAATGCCTCCAGGCATGATGATGGGAGCAGGCCTGCCTGACTTCGTAAAGACAGGCCAAAGAGCATCTTATCATTGGAGGAATGCTTGGAACATCTACTGCGCCTTGTATGGCGCAGGCAAGAACGACCCGGCCAAGCATGAAGAGACCTTCACCCGTGGATTTGTCGATTACATCGGTGAGCTCGCGGCGAATGGTCTTTCTTCCATTGCAGCCTCGCAGGGGATCAACCTCGAGGAGATTGCGCCACCCAACAATGGCAAGGGCAAAGGTCCACCTGGCATGGAGCCAGCTCCGAAAAGATTCCGCTTCGAGGAGGCGGATGGTGCAAAGCTTGAGCTGGTAGAAAAAGTTAAGAACTTGCAGAGGTCCAATCCTCAGGCCAAAGAGGCCTGGTGGGTGTACTGCGATGGCCAGTGCGGTGGAATGCGGGATCCATTGCGCCATGACACCCCCTCTCTGCAGACATTCCTATCCAGTCAGGGAGCGATGTGATTTCAGGTAGCACTTCGAATTGGCAACCTGCAGAACCGATGATACAACGCCGCTCGGGTGGAAGGGATAGGTATAAGGTTGCCGTTTTGACGGGGCGCAACATGGCGCATCCGACCAGCTCCGCGAGAGATAAAGATGTCCTGCTGCAAGTTGCTCTCGTCTGTTTCGCGATTCTGTCTGGGTAACTGCGGACATGTCCAGCATGTCGTGTGTTGCAGGATGCAGCAGCCCCTCGCCGTCAAATATATCGACCCGACCCTCAGCTGCAAAGCTTGGGCAGGCAAGGGAGGCAGAGGAGGCAGCGGCACTCCGAGTTTGCAGTCATAGCGGTGCGAAGACAAAGATGTCGTGCAAGCAACAAGGACCTACACCATCCGAGCCGTGCCGGCCAACACCAATGATAGCGTGGCACCCTTTGCCGCAGTGCTTCTTGCTCCGTTCTGGCTGGAAGCAGCGCAGCCAACACTCACTCACGAAGAAGAAGAAGAAGTGGTTCAGGCGCTTTTAGACGATCACCCTGCCTGGCAAGTGAATTTGTAAACGCTTGTCCTGTGTGACGTGGGCTGACAGCTGACACATTCTATCATGAGTTTCCAATCGCGTCTTGTTCCGAAGACATTGTTTGCGATGAAGACAGTCCTAAGAACGTGCTGTGTGCATAGGAGGAACAAGTGTGTGATCAGTGCATGCCTGGTTTTCTTGCTCGTTTATCGAAGCGATAAAAATATGGTCTTGCTGCAGATGTCTATCTGCCTACTGTAGTACGGGATCCCAAGTTGAGCCGGAAGGAACAAAGTCCCACAAAGCTCACCAATGTTTTGCCTTTGCATTCTTTGGTCTTGGTCTGATGCACCGGTCATTTTGCGACTCGCTTGTCCAAGGTGTACTGCTCGGTGCTGGGAGCCCATGCCGTGCATGTGGCGATGGCAGGATACACAGGACGCACAATCTGGGCTGGCAGTGCAAATGCTGCTAATGGTATCCGCACCGGTACTTGCTGTGGCGAAGGGTCGTGCGTGCTGTTTATGTATGCGCGTTGCTGCAGCTCGGAGTGATGATTACTCCTTGTCCTTGTCACTCTAAACCCACAACTCCACCGCCAGGAGTTGTTGTCGGCAAGGTGGACGAGCGCCACCTGGCCTAGCCACTGTTGCCAAACCCCTTCCTGCCTTCACCTCTCAGGTGTTGCCATGTTGGACTGCATTCCTGTGACAGTTACAAACGCCCCGGCGACGTCACATCATGGCAATACAACCCATGGAAACTGCCGCTCCTGGCCGTTGGACGTACTCTGCTACGGCTAGGTAGGGTAGTGCCTGCCTTGGTCGGGCCCAAGAAACTTTCGAGCGAAAGGTAGGAAAACCTTGACACCTGTACCAGCAAGAGAAAGCATGGCCTTGTGCCAAAGCGAAGCCATTCGCGAAGAATCTGGAAGACATGTTATGGAGGTGGGGCTGGATGGGTCCACCCCACATGCTTTCTTTCGTCAGCTTTTCTTCCAGACCGGTTTTCCCTCCTGATCCTTCAACTTGCCAGCAAGAATTTTTGCGAATGCATCCGGTTCCCCACAGATTGATGACTCGTGCAGATTGCAGTGAGCTGCTTGCATCTCTGGTCTGCCAGGCACCAAAATGAGCAGTTGGTGATTGCAAGAGCAAGGCTTGCCCTTCTAGTTGTCGTGGGGCAATGTGTCCAAGTGAAGACCCATAAGAAGATGACACCGATTGTGCCCATCCTTTCCATGTGTCAGCGTGGCAAATGCGTCGCAGTGGCTGTGTTGAGCTTGCTGCCCTCATCTCAGGTTTTGTCATGCTACCAAATCACGCCATCACAAAGGCGCCGTTGAGGCCGTGGGGTCCGACTCCTTGTTTGAAGGTAAGTTTTTCGGTGAATATTACACGGAGTTTTTTTTGTTGCCTTTTAGTAATTTTTTTTTGCCTGCGGGGTTGGGTGGGTAGGGTGCAGGGGGGTTGCGGGGGCTGCAGGGGGCTCGGGGGTTTGTGGGAGGGGGAGGCGGGTGGGTGGGGTGGAGGCCCGGGGCTCAAGTCTTCACATACAAGTGGGCCTCGAAGCATTTTACAGGTGGAAGCAACATACCTAATTACATGAGGTAGATTAGATTTGATGAGATCTACCATATTATAAAGAGTGCATGTTTCTATCAGATATTGATCTTAGTTCAATGCGATAAGTATATTGAGATGATAGAAATATTGAACCAATAATAAACTCCAGTTTGGTGAATACGGCGAAATAATTTTACATGTCTGTCCAATGGTCTATAAAAAGACTAGCAACCAGTATTGCTATACGGTTATATGAATACTATACCAAGATAAGCCTGCGTCCAGGACCAAATGCGGAACGCTAAACACACTTGGCCTTGGTTTCACCGAATCCAGAGCTCAATGCCGTCCCTGCACCGAAAATCGCAACGAACATGCTGAATTCGCGAACGAAAGCCAAACCTGTGAAGCAGTCCGTGTGGAGCTTGCGAGCGCTTGCTAGGCTCACGAATACGTGTGGAACCGAACCTCAGCCCAGAACCTGGCCCCCGCACCTCCCAGCAACCCGCCCCGAACCTGCCCGGAACCCTCTGAACTGGAACTAGAACCCGCTTCACGGGAAGTGGAACCTGCCCGGACCGATCGAACCTTCTTGACAGCCGCTTGCACACGTGCAAACCCGCGGCCCGGTGCCACCCATCCCAACCCGCGGGCCCCCAGCTCCAGAGCCGCGTGCCACCCATCCAAACCCGCGCGCCCCCCGCTCCAGAGGCAGAGCCGCGCGCCACCCATCCCTCCAGGCGCGTTTCTTTTTCTTCTGAGGAGAGGACCCCAACAGTTCCTCTCTGGCGAGATATACCATAATATGACTTAACCAATAGAACATAACATAGTATTATCGCACAGACTGGAATAGCACATCATATTGTGTGTATCATATGCTACAACAAGGTTTTATTGTATAAAAAAGTATTCTGTATCATAGCAGAATAGAAGCTCATATTAAAATGTACTAACATAAAATAATACACATAAGTAAGATGAGTTGCCAAGTAATATATTGGCCATGTAAGTTCTGCATTACCTTGTTATCGTATTCATAATATAGAACAATGTAGCAATACTAGTCTTTTTACAGAACATTGGACAGAATTGTTAAACATTTCGCAGTATTAACACAACTGGAGTTTACCTTTGGTTCAAAGTTTGTATAGTCTCAGTATGCTTATCGTATTGAACTAAGATCAATATCTGAAAAAAAAATGTACTTTCCATAATAGGGTAGATCTCATCATCAAGTCTAATCAACGTCATGGTATGTTGCTTCCACCTGTAAAATGCTTCGAGGCCCACTTGTATGTGAAGACTTGGGCCCCGGGCCTCCACCCCACCCACCCGCCTCCCCCTCCCACACACCCCCGAGCTCCCTGCAGCCCCCGCAACCCCCTAGAAACCCACAGGCCAAAAAGAAAAAAGGCCAAGAAAAACAAGTGGTCAAAACAAAGTCTCCCTCATTTTCCACTCTTCGGAGGCGGGTGGAGCTAAAGAGCTCTATTTTCGAGCGGATGATGGCCACTACGGGTCAGCCAAACCTGGCGTCGCTCGGCACATGTAGCTGTGACTTTGCAAAGCTGGAGTGCTCAAAAGCATGTAAGATTGAGGCCTGGTCTTGGAGACGATTGGGCCTTGCTCCCTTCACCGCCGTCAGAGAGCCCAGTTCGGTTGATGTCCAGCGCCTAGTTGGAGGCACAGCATCTCAGGCCCCCCACACCAGAAAAGCCGCCAGTGGCGCCGCCGCGGGCACAGTGTTACAGCTTTGTGGCGGCAGGCTCTTCTGATTAAACATGCCTAAACTGCTAAACATCAGTTGCGTAAAGAGCTCGCGCCTCCTAGGAAGGTGCCACCTGCAATTCTATTCCACACATATACACACATGTATATATATACATATATATATATATATGCATGTATCTGTATGTGTGTGTATATATATAGATATCATACATATGTCTGCGTGTGCATACACATATACAGATACAGATACAGATACAGAGAGAGAGAGAGAGAGAGAGGAGTCTGTAGGGGGTAACCCCTGCACCACAACCCTGGCGAAAGAAAGAAAAAGGAGTCTGACACTTGTGAGAGCACCTTTTGCAAAGCCTCTCCGCAACAGGCGGGGGCGCTGACGCGCGCGGGTGAGGGGCGCTGTCCCCTCTCCCTCAACCCTTGAGAAAGAAAAAGGAGTCTGACACGCTCCCAGTATCCTGTGGAGGAAGAAGAGAGAGAAGAGAGAGAGGAGCGCTTAAAGAAAAAACCAGACAGCGTGGGTGGGCGTTTTGGCCCGGGGAACCTCGAACGTTCCAGCGGGAGAGAGAGCTTGTCTACGCGGACTTTCGAGGGGTAGGCCTTCGGGCCAGGGGCCCTGCATGGTCCCCATACCCCCATGCAAGCAAGCAGGAGAGCTTGTCTTTGCCCAAGCCTGCAACTGGGTTGCGACCCAGCTCAATCAAAGATGGGACAGACCATGAATCTCACGACGGGTTTTGCCTGGCACGTTCGGAGAGAGAAGGATGCAACTGCTCAGGCCGGAAATGCTCAGCTTTGCAGAATGGAACGGACTCCAAGTGGAGGAGGAGCCGTGTGCAAGGCAGCCTGATCTGCCCCGACTTGGCCACTGCCCGCTGGCTTGGCGGGTGGTGCGCGGCCAATTGTGGCTTCCATGCCCGCTTACTTATCTACAGATCGTGGACGAACGTTGTCCCAAACGCAGGAGGTTGCAGAAGTGGCAAACCTGGAGATCAAGGACGCAGACCTCTCAGATCTGCTCAGCACATGCTTCGACGGCTGGCAGAGCTTCATTCCTGGCAGCTAGAAGCAGCTAGCAGCTCGTCGTTTTGGAACGAGGTGACTCTGAACACCTTCGATGGCTTCGGAGCCTCTCCCTCAGAAACATCACCTCGCTTTGCCAGGACGGACCAGGCACTCACGGTCTGAGCGTGTTAGGAGATGAAAGAGTCCCGACCACTCCTGCGAAGTGATCTACTGAAGAGCCACGACGAGGCTCACGAGCACTACCCCAAACCCAAACTGCGTGTGACTGACAAGGAAGCCGTGCCTGCAGAGGGATCGCATAGAGCTGTCTAGGTAGGCTGGGGGTGCTTCCTTGCTCCCGGGTTTTAACTTACAGATTCTTATTGCCAATGTGTGCAGCGGTATGACCCGCATGTCATGCAGGTGCGGAAGCTAGAGATCATGCGCCTGAGTCTGGATCTCAGATGTGCCGCTGCGCTTGGCCTCTGTTAGGCGAGATGTGCACGCCTGCTAGGTGACAACTTTCCGTCTGCAGAGGCTTATCATAACTTTGCCCACCTCGCACCTTGCAGATCGCACCGTGAGACGGACTAGCAACTGAAAACCTCAAGACCTCAACAATGAATGAAGCGCATGTCCTTGCAGGCCACTTCGCCACTGAAGCCGTCTGCAGGATTCCTGGATAACGAATCCTGGACGGTCAGAGACTGAATGTTGTACTGTGCGTCGGCTGCCTTGAACAGAGTCCAAGAGACGGCTTGGGCTTAGGCAAGTTGTCATTGTGGTCAGTCCATGATGCCTCTTATGTCGTGAGCAATTGTTGCTGACTGCACGGTGGCGTTTTTGAATGGCGGCCGTGGCCCAGCAGTGACGAATGTATAACAAACCAACCAGCTTACATCCATGTGTTTACATGTGCAATGCAGTGAGGACCGACTGCTTAACTGCAAGATGGGATTTTTGAGCCACGTTGCAGAGGGGGACTCAGGACGACTTTTATCTCATTTGTGTCGATCTTCCGACGGGCTAGAAAAGTCGTTATGACTAATGAAGACGAGTCGTATTGTCTGAGCTGCGAGGAGCTAAGGGGTGCTTGTTTGGGGGGGTTGGGTGCAATCATCGAAGCCCGTAACTTGGCGCAAGCAGGTACGTACATACCCCTCCTCACCCTTTCCCCTCAAGATGGGAGGGAATAAACAAAAACGTTCTAACAAGTATTTTTTTTTGCTGTGGTGTTTTTGTTCGCTGCCTTTGCGCAGACCCAGCGGCTCGACAGCAAACAAAGAACACAACCCCAGCAACGACAGCTAAAGAAAAAACGCGCCCCGGGGACGACAGCCAACAAAAACGACGCGCCCCCCGCAACAACAGCAAAAAAGCAAAGCGCGCCGGGGACGACAGCAACAAAAACAATGCGCCCCGGTGACGACTCATAGACGTGCCGATTGAGGGGTAGTATTACGGCAGCGCAGTATACAGGAGTACACTGAAGCAAGAACCCGGGCACCTACCTGTAACCACGGCTACATACTAACGCACGTGCTCCCCGACTAATTGTGTGCACCCGGCCTCACCCAGAAAAGCAGCATGCTTATGCGCATGCTTACATACCGTACATGCATATACATACATACATATACATACATACATACATACATACATACATACATACATACATACATACATACATACAGACACATAGATGCTGTACATATGTGTGTGAGTCTGTATATATACAGACAAATTGTCTA